CACTTGTTTCTAATAGCTTTTTTGTTACTACTAGTAAGGCACTTGTTACTACTAGCGATGCACTTGTAATTACTAGCAGAACATAGCAGAACTCACTGTACCGAATCAACATCGATTGTCGCTAGCACGCAATGAGATACATCAGGATAATGTCGCCTGCCCTTGCCAACCAGTTCCTCCGCAACGGTTTTGAGATCCTTCACAAGCAGGGTGGGGCAAGCAATGATCAAATCTGTACCATGAGACCAAATGGTTCCTTCTAGGTTGGAGGCCATCGCTATTAGGTCGGAGGCCATCCCTATCAGGTGGAGGCCATCACTAGTAGGTTGCAGGCCATTGCTAGTAGGTTGGAGGCCATTACTATTCATGCTGTTTTATGCTATCTTTGTTTGTTTTATTGCTATCTATGTGCATCGGCTCCTTGAAGGCCGAGTCCAAAACACAAGCGGCGATCTTCGAATCCTCGGTTTGTCCGCACAAACCACAAGCACAGTGCCAGTACCTTGCCACCTGCTACTGGATAGATATGCCTGTATGTTTTCAACTGGTTCCTGTGCTGGCGTCCTCTGCGGCACGAAGAATGGATGTGGACGCTCCCATTGACCTGGAAGCGGAATTAAGAGCTGTGCCGAATCCTGAGCCAATTTTGGAAAGCTCAAAGTCAACTCTCCAATTCTTGCGGCCCACCAGCTAGGAAAACATACTGGAGTTTTCGAAACACTTCCGAACAGTGTCTACAACTTCTGCCTGCCCCACAGCCCGATAGACGACACCGTAGGCCTCATCAAGGTCAACAGTAAGACATGGCAATGGCCTCCAACCTAATAGCGATGGCCTCCAACGTACTAGCAAAGTTCATCAATAGCACTTTACTAAGGCAAAATGTAATCCTTTCATTGGCTTTCCCCTTGTGGAATTATGACAATATGTGACAATGCATTAGAGGACCTGGAGGTATCCAACTTCAAGATCTCTGCATGCTTTGTCATGCCTTGATATATGCAAGCTTCTGAGCTGCGGGGCAACTGTCGAAGGTACTCTAAGCAGGTGCGAAGGTCCTGCTCCTGGCACCAAAGTTCACCGGAAGCGATGTTGGCAGCTTCTAGAATCTACTAGTACCAGTAGCTTCTTGCTCCTAGCAGCGATGCCCTTTGGCACTCCTTGCTCCTAGTAGCGATGCCAGGAGCCCCTAGTAGCGTCGTTGCTCCTAGTAGCGATGCCAGGAGCCCCTAGTAGCGTCCTTGCTCCTAGT